AGGGGGGGGGGGCACGCTACGCTGGTATTGCAGACTGACTGTGAGCCGGGTGTCGCATCTAATTCCCATCAGTGCGAAAGCTAGCCCATTAAGGTTGAGAGATTACGCCAATTTTGAAAAGATAAAAATAAAAATTTTGCCGGATGAGGAGTTAGAATTAGACCCTGGTCATAGAGCGCGGCAACGGCAAAAATCGAAGCCATTAAGGTATAATAATAGCTCGCACTCCGCTCTTTGCAGTTCTCCAGCTGATGCTGCTCGACGTCAGGAACCCTTCTCAGGTAAGCGTGTTTCTCTATACGACAGACCACAGACCACGGCCGCACGCGCGTTCAGCCCACACCACAAGCAGAGCGTCTTGTCGGACAGCGCACGATCCCGTCACGAGCCACAAGCGGTGGTGGTGGTGTGCTGCGTCTCTCTCTCTCCCCTAGAGCTTCCGGGCGAATCAGGTCACCTTCTTGCCGCCCTCTAGCCTGCCCAGGGCCTGGCCTGGCCGGGCCGGCCCCGCCTCGCTCAGCCCCGACCCGTAGCCAGCCAGGGCCCTCCGCCCAAATGGAGCCCAGCCTGCGCAACACCGCATTACTGCCGCAAACAAACTTTGGCGCGCTGGTCGTGGCGTGGCTGGGGCAGAAGGGGAAGCCGCGCTGCGCCGAGCCGCGTCTGAGACCAGACCTTGTAAATCGGGACGCCTCGCCTTCGCCTCGCCGGGGCCGCTCTCCAGAGGCGCCGCTAAGCCGTGGCTGCTCCGCTCTCCAGTCCCGGGCTCTTCACTGAGGAACTGCGGAAAATTTTCAGTCACCCCCCCCCTCTCCCTAAAAAAATAATAATTCAGATCCCTATATTTTTACTAGAAAAACAAAGGTGCTATTTAATGCCTTTTTCAAAGCGTTAGCGAAATGGTGCCGCTAGAAAGGCGCCACTGCCTCTGCCCTCCCAAGGTTCTATTTTTGGCCCTCTTGGTGCCCATAGTAATGCACAAATACAGTAGCCCCCTTAAACACTCAGTAACCACCCTAAAGAGGGGTGCTATCTCACACCTTTGTTTTTCCCAAGCGTTGGCCTTGGACGTCGTCGCTTGTCCCACACTGATACAATGTCAGATTCGAGCCTTGTAAAAATGTGCGGATGATGATGATGCTGAAGTGACGCTGTCGCCCTGTTGCAGCCGGGCGCGCCGGCCGCCGCCCCCGCCCTGCCCACGCGCTGGCGCGCGCTCATGTCGGACTGGGCGGTGCTGCTGTCGGCGGGCGCCATCCTGCTCTCCTCGTCGTGCCTCGCCATCCTGGAGCCCTGCCTGCCCATCTGGCTCAAGGCGTCCATCCGGCCGGAGGTGAGCGTCAGCCCGGCGTCAGCCCTGGCGTCAACCCGGCGTCAGCCCTAGCTGTCACCGAGGGGATTACCGTCCCGTCTCTCGGCGTGGACAGCGTTAAGAACGGTGCCGTGACTTCAGCCAGGCTCCCCCGCTGTTCACCGCGCCACCCCCGTCTACACAGACAGGCACAAAAAAATAAAGGGTGCATCATTTTCATGAGAGGGATAGGCAAAAACCAATGTCTCACAAGTAAAGAAGGGGTTGGTATATTGTCGATAATCGAGACGATAACGTTTTGAAATGTTACACGATCAGCAGAGCCAAGTGTTGAGAGGCCGACCCGCGTCCCCGTGATACAGCGGTGTTACGCTCACATCGCGACACGTCCACATAGAGCGACACATGAAGCTATTCTCGCGGTGTTCCGCGGTAGCGTTACCTGCTCTCCATACACGCGCGACAAGACTGCGGAGCAGCGCGCAGACGGGAATCTTAAACAAGTTTCTGGCGGCTCTCGATTTCTGATAAGCAGGACGTATATACTCTGACGCCGCGTCGTCCCCCGTCCGTACGCCTGGAGGGGAGACGGATGATGTTGCTGATCTGGGTTGATCTCTTCCTTCCGGTGTGACGTCAGAGCAGCGCGCGGCGCCGCCCTGGGGCGGTACCATCTCCGTCCAACCCCCCCA